AAAACACCGCTTAATGAAAGAAATATCATCAAGTGTCACAAAACACCGTTTAATTAAAAAAAAATGCATCAGTCTATAGTTGACATTTTCAACCGCTTAATGATATAATTTGTTCTTTATAACTAACGGTGATTAAGCTATAACAGATGAGAATTTCAGCTTATAATATATTTGCATAAAGTGTTGCAATTGCAAAGGCATTTTATCATAAGCGGTTCTTAACGATGCCACTGACAATAATAAAGACCAAAAAAATCAGATAGCTACTAGATAGGAAACTAACCTGTACAAAGTCGCACATGCAAAAAAAGTGAAAAAGAAAAACAAAGAGAATATCCAAGATTACACATTTTCTGAATTAAGAAAGATTCGGATTATAACAAAATGACCAAATAAAATATCCACGCCTCCATTCATCACAGACAATTAATTGAAGTCCCAAAATGAGAAAACAATGAAAGACTGCAGTGCCAAGAAAACACTTGGTACAGCATCAAAAGAAAAACCAGTATCAACAACTGTAACCAGACATTCAAAGAAAAAACAGTGGACCATAAGCATAAGGATAAAAGAAGAAAGGGGGCTTCATCAATGTAGAAGAGGTCAAAACTGGTGATATGGAAAATGCCGATGAATATGAAGTAAGTTGTGCTTGTGAAATGTAGGAGCCTTAGATGAATGTTTTTAACCTTTGTTAAATTAGCTAAATGTGATGATTGTCTAGACACTTCACTCAATTATTCTTTTCTTGTAATTCTTGTAAAGAAAAAAAGCAAACAATGGATATTCTTTTAAATAACCCCTTGTAAAAGGAAGCAAAAAATGTATGTAGATCAAATTGTAAATGTTTCTAAGAATGTCTCTTTTGCTTTTTTAAGCATTTTCATAAGAAGAAATATGTAAATAAAACGAAAACTTATTTTCATTTAAAGATAATGTAATTCTGGTTGTAACACTGTATTTGATTTGATAAAAAAATACTTTATATCGTATAAAATGGGTTGCCTACGTCACTATGACTTGCGTCAAAAACGGATCAATCCGCTTCATGTTACATTTAAATTTTGTACAAACTAAAGTCATTTTGTTAGAACAAAAATCTTTTTTTCTTACATCAAATGAATTAAAATTAAATTATAAGCAATGAATTTAATAGCTACCCATTTATAAACGGTATAAACTGGGTTGGAACAATTTATGCTTTTTTATCCAGTTTATACTGTATAAAATGGGTACATATTAAATTCATTCCTTAAATAAATAAACTTTAAAAATTCATTAATTTGTTAATATGATTTAATTTAAAAAAATGTTATTGATTACATTAATGGCGCGTCATGCAGTTACATATACACCAGTATCTGAGTAATGCCCTTTTGAAATATGTACCTTCAGAGAAAAGAAGTTCTAATGGTGTTTCAAAATAAAGTGAGCAAACAAAGAAAATCAAACTGATATATTGTTGAGGGATATGTTTCTCTTACTGAATGGTAGAATTTTCAATAATAAAGCATATGTTGGTTAATATGTGCTAAAATTCAACAGAACTAAATTGAAACATCAAACAGTTTTGATATACTGTGATTTATCATTCATAACATTTAGCAATCGTCATTAAAATAATTAATATTAATATAAGAATAACAAAAACAGTTTACATGTACATGACATAATAATTTGCATTTCCCCTTCTCACCAGGATGACACTACATGTGTGTATGTAAATATGTATTGTCACTATTCCCTCTATTTTTTTTTTTCAAATCAGTGTGGTTTTGACGCTAGATCGTCTATATACTAGAAACATACTGAATTTTAACCATCTTTCTAATAAGTCTATTATAAAATTTTGTTTTTTGTTTGATTTTGTGTATACCTGAGGGAAAAATGCATAAAGCAGAGAAAAAGATTTTCTGTTTTGATTTTGGAATGCGTTTTGTACAGCATTATTATGTAATACAAAGATATAATATACTGCAAAATATGCATGAAAAATAATTATATATGTCAGTATACAAATCTCTTTTCAAGCATATACTGTGCAAAATTTTCATTGATTATTAACACAACAACAAAAAGATATATGATACAGCAAAAATCAATAAGAACAACACAACAACAAAAAGATTAGCAGTCAAAAACAGCCTTGCGAATGCTTTATAAAAAATACAACGAATTTGCTGTAAAATCCACACATCTGAAAGAACAGCAAACAAGAATCACAGTATGGAAAAACGCTTATGTCTTATGTATACTTGGCCTTAGAACTAGTAACATTTTTGGAGTATTTGCAGTGCGACTGTATCATTTGACCATCTAAAATATACTAGAGCCGATTTATTTACTAGTACATGAAAATTCTTAAAGTATATCATTTTGTTGAATTTTATTTCTCTTTCTTGATGATTGCGTTATTTGATGTATACATCATTGGAAAATATTATGTATGTCACAAATAAGAAATGCAATGAACTTCAAAAGCAACTTCTCTTGAATGAAATCTTAAATAGTGCATTCCGAGGGAGGAAATTAGAAGATAGAAATGTAAACTTTACTTGTTTTTCTCCCTTAAGGGGAGACAGGGAACATGTCACATGACTAAAAAGACATATTACGTCATAATCAATACATGATCATTAAAATCAACAGTTCTTGTGTATTTTATTCTAAATTCTAAAATTGATTTTCAAACTTTAATTTTAGAAATTATTGATAAAGTTTTTAAAGATCTTGGATAGATATTGTGAAGGAACATTTGAACGTTATCTGACGTAAGGAGACGTAGTGTTTAAATTTGCCAAGTACACGCACAAGTTTTATTTATAATAAACCACCATCATGATAAATTTCTGAGGCCATTTTTTGAATTAATATTTTTTAGTGTTTACTAGCAGAGCGGCACATTTTGAATGTTTATTTCGTTGTCAATGATCGGAAAAAAGGTGCTTACGTCTAAAGGCGATATTGATAAGCTTCACCCTGTGATATTTATGCAGTAAATAATTACGATGAAGGACTGACATTCAATCGTAAATTTAGAAATATTTATTGACAGAATTTTTTCCAAATGAGGTTTTTGCCGTTGAAGCTACCTTGAAAAATGCAGAAACGCAAATACAGCTAAAAAAATTGCTTTCAGATAAAATTATTCTGAAATATTTGAGTATATAGTGTTATTTATCATTTATTAAAAATAATTACCATATAAAAATAATTAACCGTTTTAAAATGTTAAGTACATATTAAATTAGTAAAATAAAAAATACGAAAAAAAAATATTTTTAATTCACTACCAATATTCATAGAAATGTATATTTTTTTTTTTCAAAACAGCACACTTATGTTCGTTGTCGTGGTCAAAGGTGAAGAAAGGTTGATTTACTACACATATATTTGGATCCCTGAACGCATCAGCTACAAGATAAAATTAGAACTTTTTAAAAAGTAATTACCATAATTAAAATAATTAATAAATTATAGTCTGTATTAAAAAATATTCTAGCACACGTATAGAAATGTATATTTTTTTTGATAATAATAATGATTCAATGTTGAATCAACGTTGTTTATATGTTAGACGTTTATGTTAGATTTTGACAATTGAGTTCCACGTTGAAATCTTAACGTTGAATCAATGTTGAAAGTCAATGTTGATTAGACATTGAATAAAAGTTGATTCAACGTTTTTTCCAATTTTTTTTTCGGGAGGTGGGGGGGGAGGTCATTACTTACTTAAAATTTCAACCGTTTTATTACATGGTTACTAAGATGCCTTCATAATTGTATAAAGGAAAACATACATGTACTGTATATGAAAAGTATATATATATATATATTGTAAACATTTATTTAATTTCATATCAATAGATGTGTTACAATAAATTTCAACAATTTACATTTTATAAATCATGTTGCAAAACTCGAACATTTGTATTTTCACATGTGGTCATGAAATAGTCCAGAACATGAAACCATTCCAAGGTAAGATGTAAATCTTATACGGTACCACTTTTGATGCACCAGATACGCATTTCGACAAATTATGTCTCTTCAATGAAACTCTGACATGTCGAAAATCAAATGCTTTCTTTAAAGAGTAAATTTTAAATAAAATCTTGGTGTTAGAGTCCTGAGGGTTGTGTTGATCTCCTGATCAGTATTCTCTAAGGGATTGTGTTGGTCTTCTGAGTGGACAGAGTGATGCATTTTTAAGTTGATTACCCCTACAATGTACAATGAAATTGGCGTGAGTTGGAATTCAAAAACATCCATAATCACGATCGATAACAAATCGAGTTTTAATTTTTAAAAGCTAACCACAGCTGTATATATAAAATCTTTAAAATTCTCAAAACTTACCAATGACTGTTGTGCTGTCTTTTTAAAATATTTTCCGGATGTCCTACTGCCCATGCTCTTCATTCGTTCTTTGCCAAATTTGTACTGAATTCATATTTATCATTGAATTTGTAAAATTCCTATATTTACCATCCTTGTCAGTTATAATAGTTTAGGAATGATATACGGTAGTGCGACTTTCTCAAGGCCGACCTCGTTACGGTTCGACAGTGTTATAGTCCGACGCAATTATAGTCCGAATTATCTATCAGCGAAAAATAGGATTGGACCGCTCAGCGAAGATCCGACGTTGAATCCATGTTGGCAATTCAACTCAATTTGAATTCAATGTTGAATCAAAGTTACATTTTCAAAGTTGAAAAGTCAACGTTGAATCAATATTGTATCTAGATTATCAACGTCTCAACCCAACTTCAACTAATATTCAACGTTTAAACAACGTTGTCTGCCTGCTGGTAATGATAATAAAAAGATACCTTTATACAACCCTCGTACATGTAATGAATGTTTTGCGTCTGCTTTGCAAAAGTTTTGATCGTTTGCAAGCCATTTGTTGTTTTGATGCTTAATCAATGCCTGATGTACATGTATGTGCTCAATGTATCATGTTTAAAAGACTTCGAGGAAACAATACTACTTACTGAGATTTCCCGATTGTTTTCCTAAAGAAAGTCTATAACCATCAGTCTCAGCAGAGATGGAAAATGAGCTGTACTTTACTCCATAAGTGAAGACATTGAACTGTGCATTTATGTACACATGCAGATCGTATTGGAAAGTTGTTGTCAATTCATGAATAGCATCATTTCCTAAATAGAAAAAAGTTATGCTAAAAATCAATCTACAAATAAAGTGTTCAATGAATTCCCCTAGACATAATAAAATGTTTAAAAGAATCGTAAAATATTACAAATCGAGTAATACCCTGGGAAGTTCATTTTTTTCAATAAATTCAGGAAAATACCATGGAATGAGAACAGTGTAGTGGTAAGTGTATATTCAGGGTTGAATAGGTTCTTAAGGTCAGACGATATGGTCCTCAAATATCTGTTTTGTATATCTTCATAATGTATGAAAAAATATTCAAAATTGTAATTACCTTCTGATTTCTAAACCAGTTTCTAAACGTCTTTAAAGAGTCCAAACACTAAAAAAATTATATTGGTGAATTATTCTGTTCCCAAAAGGATTATATTAGAAAAATTACCCTCTGGTATCTTATGCAAATGCCTGGTAAGGCACCTCAATTTTTTTTGTGAGGAAACATGTTAGAGGAGCAATGCTTCAATGACAAAATCTTTGAAAAACTTATATATTAATGCGGAAAATATCGTCTGTCCTTAAAGCTGACCATGATTTGTAAAAGTAAAATAGTTATCCTTGTCATATATTTATTTTTGCTCGTTTCCTTTTTCAAGCCCATATTAAGCCTTTGACCTATTCAAAATTACAAGTATTTCGCTGTACACATACATGTATATATCTCTTCTGTGGAGACATTTCTGCATTTTCGTTGTTACTAGGTACAAAAAAATAAATTAAATTAATGCATGAAGGAAAATTTGTTTCCCAATTGTTCATAATGTTTTCGTTTGTTTGGTTTTTTTTTTACATGTCACTTCCCTTTTAATATTTTTTTTTACATGGATATATATATATATACATATATTGAGATTGATTGATTGATTGTATACTGTTTAACGTCCCTCTCCTGAATATTTCACTGATATGGAGACGTCACCATTGCCGGTGAAGGGCTGCAAATTTAGGGCTATGCTCGGCACTTACGGCCTTTGAGCAGGGAGGGATCTTTATCGTGCCACACCTGCTGTGACACGGGGCCTCGGTTTATACGGTCTCATCCGAGGGACCGCTCCATTTAATCGCCTTTTACGACAAGCAAGGGGGTATTGAGGACCTATTCTAACCCGGATCCCCACGGGGCCATATATTGAGAAGCGAATGCTCTAACCACTGCCCCATGCACCGGACTGTTTCAAGGGTGTAATCTCGTTTACCAATGTGTACACCAGGCAATATGAATCTCATAGCTTGATGACGCGACCTGTAAATATAGAGTGCACGTGTACCGAATGCAAAGGGTATGTAAAACCTGATGCTTTATCGGAGATAGAAAAAAAAACAGATATGGAGTATGACTTTTTACGAGTCGTTCTCAGCTTCAATAGAGAAAAGTTAAATAGGAAATACATAGCTAATTAAACATTGACCAACAATTAGCACATACATTTGTCGTTATATATGATGTTTATTTTTTCTTCAGAGGTAGGGGTATCTGATCAATATCAATATTAATTTTGCTCCCAGATTTATCTAGTTTCAAAATATTTTTTTTTTACCAATCATTTTATTTTGGGTTTTATTTCCTATTTTCCTGACCGTTCACGGTAGCTCAGTCGGCAGAGCGCTCGCTCCGTGATCGGGAGGTCTTGAGTTCGTATTTCGGCCGCGTCTGACCTAGTCGTTAAAATGGGTAGCAACTGTTCCTTCGCCATGCGCTGGGCACTTTGAAGTGAAAGTTGCGGGTCCTTCGGATGAGACCTTAAAAACCGAGGCCCCGTGTCAGCGGCAGGCGTTGGCACGATAAAGATCCCTCACTGCGCAATGGCCCTGAGTGCCGAGTAAAGGTCAAAATTTGAAGCCCTTCACCGGCATACGGTGATGTCTCCATATGAGTGAAAAATCCTCGAGAGGGACGTTAAACAATATACAATCAATCAATCCTATTTTCCTGTTTTCTTTTATATTTCTTGCTTTCCAACTCAAACATACTTTTTTTTGCTTCTACATTAAACATATATTTTTCTGTTGTTTTGTATAATCTATGAACATACCACATGAAAAAAAATCTGTTTAACGCCTTTACGGAAAAAAAGATGTTAACATTCTTTTTTACAGCTTTAAAAAGATAAAAGCTTGCCCTAACAAAATTATAATCGTAACTTTAGTTTACTATACTACAGTAACACAGTTTTTCACTATAGTAAATCAAAGTAGATCTAATTCTACTATGGAATTCAGATTGTTATATTTTTTTGGTTCTTCAGTTCATACATGTTAATGCAAAACTTTTATGATGAATAGAAAAGTTATTTGTATATTAACATAATATTTCTAAATTTTGCATAACTGTTACCGAATTTAAGAGATTTTAAGCTTTGAAATTAAAAAAAAAGAGTGTACATGTAAAGTTTCAAAGTAAATCAGAGTATGAAAGTTTTAACAGTAGTTAAACATAGTAAATAATTTTTGTTAGGGAAGTGCTTTGAAGTGTTAATCCAATTGTTAATCCGTAAAACTGAGCTATAATTATTTGTAGGAACTTGTACAGCGGGAACCGTCAGATAGCCCAGTTCGTAGAGCGCTCGCTCCTTGATCGGAAGTTCGTGAGTTCGAATCTCGGCCCCGACTGACCTAAGTCGATAAAAAATAAGTAGCAACTGTTCCTTCTTCATGTGCCCGGCACTTTGAAGTCAAGGTCGTGGGTCCGTCGGATGGGACCTTAAAACGGGGGCCCCGTGTCATGGCAGGCGTTGGAACGATCAGATCCCTCAGACACTGCTCAATAGCCCTGAGTGCCGAGCGAAGGACACAATTTGAAGCCCTTTCACGTTGGTATATGGTGACGCTTCTATATTAGTGAAAAATTCTCAAATAGGATGTACAACATCATAAAATCCATAAATCAAAGTGAAGCTGGATTCCTCTCTTACCGAGCCAGTAAGCATCTCGAACATCCCCAAAACCTCGCTTGTAGTCCTCCCATGTTACATTGAAATTCATATGGGGATTGCCCCTGTACTGCACCACCTGAATGAAGGAAATTATACATTTCTGTAATTTAAGCATGATGCTACGAAATTTTGTATAGAAAATATCACACTTGCCACTGACACGATGAAGTGGAACCCCGGTCTTCGATATTTCTATATTCCATAATTGAAAGAGCTATCTACCATATAAGTAATTTTTTTCATGATTTCTCAACTTTTCCTCAAGACTTAAAAATAAATATATGCAATTGTATGTGTATTTCTAAGTGATGGTACCGTTCACGGTAGCTCAGTCGGTAGAGCGCTCGCTCTGTGACCGGGAGGTCGTGATTTCGCATCTCGGCCGCGACCGACCTAGTCGTTAAAATGGGTAGCAACTGTTCCTTCGCCATGCGCTCGGCACTTTGAAGTGAAAGTTGCGGGTCCTTCGGATGAGACCTTATAAACTGAGGCCCCGTGTCAGCAGCAGGCGTTGGCACGATAAAGATCCCTCACTGCTCAATGGCCCTGAGTGCCGAGTAAAGGTCAAAATTTGAAGCCCTTCACCGGCATACGGTGACTTCTCCGTATGAGTGAAAAATTCTCGAGAGGGACGTTAAACAATATACAATCAATCAATCAATTTAAGTGATGGTATATCTTTTCAGGTATTTCTTGACATTTTTTGGCAGAACATATTACACATTGTTGTCAACAAGCAACTTTTAGATTTACCAAGATATTTTTTTTAAGAATACTTCTTGATTTTCAGTGTTTATTTTAATTTACTTGGCTGCATAATGTTTTGAATGGTCAAAAGGAATCATTGGATTGGATGCTGAAAATTCAAGACCTCTTTTAGTGAATACCTAGTCGAACAATCTTTTTTGTGGAAGTGTTTACGATTGAATTAGTTTAAAATGAATTCATGAATGCGAAGTTTTGTGTACTTAATTTTTGTTATACTTTTTATATATGAGAGCAGACCTGAACATATTTGAAATAGATCAAAGTTCTCTTTTTTGTTGTTAGAAGGCTCCAAATCGAAACTCAGCGCCACGTCAAAGATCGCTATCTTTTACTTTTTCTTTTATATTTATTGATACAAGATTTATTAACAATTCACAAACTCGTCAATATTCTAACCTATTGTGTATTATGCTGGGGATCCTATTGTACCGATGTACTAAATTTTGATAGTCAATAGGTCAAAAAAATGTTACATACATTCATTTACCGTACTTTTTTTCAATAAAAATGAATAAATTACCTTTTTATGATGTTTTGATTGAACTGTCTATATATTTTTACATGAGAAAGACACAAATCTAACCGAGTCTAGCGTTTGTGTATTTAAAGAGGTTACTCTGGTAACGGTGCAAATGTTTGGCTAGCTAGAAAGGTCAGAAATCAAACAAAATCCGTCTTTGATTTTTTTTTTTAAAAATCAACAATTTCTCCCATTATAAAATAATCATGTTAATTCAATTACGGATTGACATTATATTATTAGAAATAATTTCCATTTAAACTAGCTTAAATATGTTGATGTAATAAATTCTAATTTCATTCATTTTTCAAAGTATTATATATCTTCCTTAGATTCCTAATCTAGTTAAATAAAACGGGGAACTGTCTCTTTATATATATTTTAATTAAGATAATGAACATTTTTTAATTGAAAAAAAAAAACATATTTTTTTAAAACAATTAATATAAATCAATGTATTTTGAAACCTTTTCAGGTAAATTTGAAGCAATGTCATTACAAATTTCAGTATTATTTCGCCTTTGAAAAGCTTTACAATTTTAACTAAAACAGGGTTTCCTATACGAGGGGTTATCAAAAAGTTCGTGGACTGGCGCATTTAAAATTAATACTGTTAAAGATACTTCAGTGAAATTTAGAGTGTAACTAAATATACATTTTCCCTATATACCATGAAGATTTTATATTTCAATTATCATTTTTAAAACATTAACATGCTATAACGTATGTGATGGTTTGTCTAGTCGGTGCAACCTCAAAATATGACAATTTCCGATCTTAAAGTGTAAAAAGTAAATTGAAAAAAGACTATTTCTTGGCAAACTTTCCCGTAATTTTTACAATATGACGTCATACGAGGGTTGATCCAAAAGTAATGTCACAACTTCGATAAAATTTCTCCTAGTCGACGTAAATTAACAAAATTTTACATGATGCAAGCTATATTTATTTTAAATCAGTCCTGAAAAAATCAAATTAAAATGATTTATACTTTTCAAAATATCGAATTAAACACAAAGTGCGATTATGGTAGTCGCCGCACCTAAATAACGCCATAAAACGGATATGCGCCGTCACACACTCTTAAAAACGCCTATCCATCGTTTTATTAAAAAAATTTGATATTCACAAAACATTCACATATTCTATTTTCTTTAAGAACAATTGGCACCTATTGTACACTTTATCTATAATTTAATCCTTCGTCAAAATTCTTTGAACAATACCATAAGACAAACTTAAAAGTGTCTCATATCACTCAAACTGCCACTAATCTCTTTTACGACAACGTCGACGCCATTGAACGTTTCAACCAGACCTCCTATCTTTCGGTATTTCTGTCCCCAAATGATCATTTATTTACGTATTACCTGTCCAAAATCTCTGAAATCATCTATGAACAAGTCTCTCGTTAACAATCTTTCCTCTGCGAGTTTGATTTACCATCATAACTGTTTCTACTTGTGATTTCCCGATTTTGAAGGAAAAATACATAACTTGTTTCGGTGTTTTATTCCATTTCGATATTTCCTTTCTGCAATACATCAGATATAAACAATACTGTTTATGATGAAAAAAAAAAAAACAATGCTGCCATTTAATTTTTAACTAAAGATTAGAAAATGTTGTAAATTTTGTCTTTAAAAATATTGGACGATTAGACGATTTTTTTATGCTTTTTAAAATGTGTTTGTCTTTTTTATTCTGAAAATATTAACTTTAAAACGTGACGTTTAGTTGTGACGCGGCGACATCCCCTACGTTTAATGTTTTAAACATCCATAAAATGAATTCAATTGAACATTATTCACTGAAATTTTCAATTTTGATTAGATTTTTGTTTATGCATCTTTTGGTGCATTATATTTGATAATATGACACCAAATATTAAAGATATGGACACAGTGACATTACTTTTGGATCAACCCTCGTACAACTGTGCCGTAATATTTTTAAATTTTACGTCATTTTGTGTATTCTGTGGAATTGAATAGCCATTTTTATTATCCCTCTGATAAGAGAGATAACTCATCTGATAAGAGAGATAACTTTCCTCAGACATTTTGTCATGAAATTCAGTGAATTGTCATGTCAGAGTTTACAAATTTCATTCATGGGAACCATTTTATGGTCAACTCAATCAAACATATGCTATGGTACAAATGTTGATTTATAGTTTCTATTGCTAGTAAGTACATTAATGATTTATAATAATTTACTTAAAACATTTATACTCAGTTCCTTTAAACAGTGTAAATTGAGAAATCTGTATCTCTTAAAGTATAATTCTTTAAATTGTACCGAAATTTCAGATGCAGTATTGTTTATAAACATTTAATTAATATTTTGTTTCATTAAAAATTATTTTCAAGGGCGATAATGGAACGATAACTCTTGTTTATGGATGCGTGTTTTTTTACATGCACAGAAAACAATATGTTATTGTGATTTAAAAAGCAGCGCTTCAGTATGTTTTCTAATGGGAATTAGATAGGTATGAGAGTAAATATTATTTTTATATATACCTCATATTTCTAATTTAATTGTGAGATAAAAAATAATTAATCTTTCTATTTACCATCTCAAATTTTCTTCACATTATGATTTGACATATTATTCATTTCTGATAAAGTAAGCAATGCTTCATACTTCAAACTATTTTCCATTTGAATTTAATGCTTTAGTTGTTGCTGAAAATCAATGTCTGGATTTTAAAAAAAAAGTCCTGAAATTTAGAGCAGAGGGATATTGCCCCTTAAGTTCGTTTAAAATTGTTCAAGTGAGAAATGACGCCGGATGGGAAAGTTTTTTCCCGGAATATTATAAAGTTTTGTGTTCAACTTGGTAAAACTCCAACAGAGACCATGGAAATGTTTAATCAGGCAGGGGAAAGTAAAAACGTATCAAGATCACTTGTATTTAAGTGGCATACACTTAACAAAACTTCTACGTGTTCACTTTAATAAATGTCTTTATCTAAAAACTACTTTATAGAATGGTATGATATTTTCAAATTATATCAAAAATTGAGTCTTCTCAACAATTGTAGAAAGAAAATTCAATATCACCGATGAAAATCAATGTTCCGTGACGAAGCTTAAAAACAATAAATCCGTATTTTGCGGCACGTGTTTTGTGTAATAAGCATCTTTTTGTGATCATTATCAAATTTCAAAAGCTGGTTTCACTAAAAAACACAAAACATTGGTTAAATGACCATTGAGATAGAAGATAGAGCCGTTGGAATGTTGCTATCTGGACCATCTTTACACCACGTTTTACTCACTTTTATTTTAGCGCTTAATTGTACTTCATATTACTTTTAAAAAATGTCAACAGTATCAAAACACATTTAAACACATTTTGCTACAGGCTGTGATCATTTTTATCACCAATTTATCACAATTTGAAAGTTTTTGACAAAATTTAACGACACCGGTAGTGACCTTGATCTTCTTCAGATGAGAAAATTTCGCGTCACAACAGGTTAAAAGAGTGTTAAAGTGTCCTGAAAAAATGTTAGAAACATGGAAACAAATCATTTCAATCTTACAGATATGATAAGAAATCGGTGCTCAAGGCAGTCTTATATCAGCTCAAACAGTCTGAATTATCCTTAAAGCGGCGTACTAACGTGCTAAAACCCCATGGATATTGACCAAAAGGCATTTTTGTGACGATACACTGTCAAATTCTAGGATCTGAATCCCATTGAACACATTTAGGATTTTAAAAGAAACGTCAAAGCCCCCTCCCCCCCTTTTCCTCACAATTTCAATGGTTTGGAA